CTTAAGTTCGTGACCCGAGGTACCACTGTAGTAATATATTACATGATATTTATCTTCCCTCCCCTCCCCCTGTGCCACAGACAGACCAACCAACTGTGGGGCAGTACTTTTACAGACTAAAGAATGGGAATCATTCATCTAATATGCAGAATTACTCTTCACATTCATTACTGTAAAACAATTGTGTTCTTTATTGCTCTTCTCAGCCTAGTAAGAGGCCTAGAGACAGACCTGAATAACTGCTGGATCTTGTTTTTCTCAGAATGAGGTATTAACTACATTAGGCTTCTTTTCCCTAATACCTTTTGATAAAATATGATAGCCAGCATCTGTTTCTGGAGAGCCTAGTTAGGTGCTTCATTTTAAGGTAATGATCACATAGACCTTATCATGCTGTTTGGATTTAAACCTAGCTTTGTAATGAATTCTGGAGAACTTTAAACTTGATGACTGATTTGTGACATTTTCATTGCTAACCCCCCCCCCTGCATTGATATACTTTAGAATTTAGATTTTTTTCTAAAAAAATTCTTGTGGGCATATGTTGTTACTTTGGTTACAAAATAAAATATTTAATAAATCTGTTTTAATGTAAAGTTTTTATGGCTTTAGATAACTATTTTTTATTTATGACACATGCTTTTAATTTTTTTAACTTCTATTGAATATCATATATCTTTTAACATTTTGGATGTGTCTCTCTTAGGTCAGCAATCTTGCAGGAGAGCAAATCACTTTTAAAATGCCGGACTGTTTCGGACCATGCAGTAGCAGAAGCTTTGTGCTCAGCCATGCTTCTTGAAGATAGTTCACCACGCCAGGCTCTTGCAGATTTCCTGCTGGCCAGAAAATCTGCAATTCAGCAACTTCTGAATCAGCCCCATCACGGTTGGTATACATGTAATGCTAACATAAGCTACTCTTTATCCTGCTGTGAACCCTGCAACTTCCATCAGCCACAAATCTGGTCCACTTTACAGGTTCCTTCCTACATTGAATATATTACAAAGCAGCATATCAGTATTAGAGATGTGAGTTAAAATAGCAATAGCTACTTTGTCCTTGGAAAAATCACTAACAGAAGGGACTACTGTGGGTTGATTATTTTTTGCTGCCATATTAATGCATATATATTTCTAAAATAAGGTTAGGGTTATGGTGGCTAGAAACTATAACTGAATGGATTCAACCTAGGTTGTTAGTTCTTCATAATAGATAATACTGTAGTTATATTTTTCCAGAAGATATTGCTAATCATGGACAGTATCACTTAGCATTCTCTTCCCCCCATCTTTTTTAGAATTTTGAGAGTATGGAAATAAATGACCAAGTGATATCTTTTTTGTAACTGGTTAGTGCAATGTAGAAAAAAATCATCTATCCATAAATACACTTATTTTTCCCCTTGAAGTAGATATTTTTGGTTGGATATGTATATATATAGCTGCTATTGTACTTTTTGTTTATTTGTTCATTTTGAATCAGATGCAGGCATCAAAGCACAAGTTTGCTCCTTGGTGGAGCTCCTAGTCACAACCGTGTATCAAGCTCATGCCCTCTTCTATAACCTGCCAGAGGGAACACCCTCAGATCCATCTCTTCCCTGTGGCTTGCTTTTCTTGACCTTGGAGACCATCACCAACCAGCATGGTTCACCAGCAGGTGAATGGGATCATGTACCAATTAACATTGTCTGTCTCTTAATGTCCAGTTTAAATCATTAGTGATCTTATCTCTCTTCTTGTTGCAATTTTCTTAGGGAAAGGGCTCAGCGTTTTGAAGGAAGAAACCAAGTTAAGTAGCTCCTTCCAATACTTGCCACCTTCTGTCACAGAATTCCAGCCAACACTCAGAACTTTGGCACGCCCCATAAGCCAGGATTGCCTTAGAGATACACTTCAGAAATGGATCAGCATGTGAGTCTGTAAGGAGCTTACCTTGTTGGAGGTATTTGGTATTGTGGCCTTACTGGCAAATATATTGAATAGCCTCTTATAGGAATGAAATTGTAGTTAGTGAAAATTGTTTTGGTTGACAAAAGCAAGAGAGTCTTGAATCTTAAAAATGAAGAACTAAGCTTATATAGCAAGACTCTTTCTTCAGCGTTACAAGACACCTTGTTAGTGTCTTGATGTTTACTTCAGCACTGAGATGGAAATCCAGACTTGGTTGGAGTTTTTACCTGCTCATTTTTTAAATTTTAAGACTCCATCCTCATCTTGCTTAGTGTTCTTCAACAACTGCAAAAGGAGTTTCATCATACTTCTAAATTCCCTTTTTCCAAATATCCTTTTTTAAAACACTGGTAAAAGACTGTTTTGAATTCTTTGGGCAGCTTTTCATCAACCATTACCTGTTATTTTAGAATTTCAAAATGACTTGTATATTTATAAGGTTCTAGTCTTCTGCTAGGCTAACCTATTTTGCATTGGATGTTGTGATTATCAGCACCCTTTTCTTATCACACTGATTCATAATTATATATATCTGGTCCTTGCTATAAGCTATACAATAAAAGCAACAGTTTGTACAAACTTGTGTGTACCCTCCAATAGAGCTATGAACTGTAATAGGAGTAAGGAAACTGTTTACTTACTGTCTAGAATTCTTTTCAGGTGCAATGAAGACATTAAATCTGGGATCACAGACTTACTGGTGTATGTGAAAAGCCTTAAAGGTTTGGCCAGGATCCGGGATGCCGTATGGGAGTTGCTTACCAGTGAGTCCATTAGTCAGAACTGGGAGACAGTATGTCACCGGCTTCTTGATAAGCCCATCTCTTTCTGGGAGGATCTGCTACACCAGCTTTTTTTGGACAGGTTACAGGTAAGATACTGACAAAATTTAGTCAAGAAGTAGGCTAGCAAATGCTAATAAAATAAAATAACATAAAACAAAGTGAAGCAATCTTTTATTCATAAAAGGATGCCTGAAAACTAGCTATTGTTTTCTGGATATCCTGCTTACCCCCCGCCCCAAACAATTCTGGATCTGTTTCTTCCATGTTACTGTATGTCTTGACACTTTCTTTCTTTACTTTCTGAGATGCCAGTTTTGAAGCAAGAAGCATTCTGACTTTTCATCTTGAATTTGTTATCTTTGGTTCCTTTTGTTCCTGTTTTGAATTTAAGCATGGAAAGAACCTTACTGGGATAAGAAAGGGGCAGTTCCAAGATTCCTGTATCCTAAATATTACGTTGATCCTATATTTTCCACTGCCTTCTATAATCATTTATGTGCTTGTGGCTGGTACTGACGTGAGTAGGGTACCCAACATTTGCCTCTATGCAATGATACTTTCTTTTCCAGACTCTGACCAAGGAAGGATTCGATGACATCTCCAACAGCTCCAGAGAACTGCTTCTTCTGACTGTACAGGAGCTTGAAGCAAAATTTGACTCTTCTGCCCACAGCAAACATACCCTATTTGAATGTAGCATGGCCTCTTTCCTATGGTCAGAGAATCCTAATGACTTGCCACCTGATTCTGCCTGGATCAGTGTGGCAAACCGCAGTCAGTTCACTAAGAGTGGATTGTCTATGAAAGCTCAAGCATACAGTCCTAGTGTCCAGAGCTTCTGCAGTGCACTGGATTCCAAGCTTAAGGCCAGGCTGGAAGACCTGTTGTCTTACTTGCCTTCCAGCTCCTCTACATCTGAGGATACATTGCACGGACACTCCAAGAACTCTGCTTTTGACAGATTTGCTGATGCGAGCATAGTGGAGGAGCTGTTGCGCAGCCACTGCATTAATTGTTCAGATTATTTGCTGGGCTGTGTTAGGGAAAAGCTGTACCATGCTCAGGAGGTGCTCCAAGGATGCACAGACAGCTTGCATAACCCCCAAATCAACACTGTTTTGTTTATGGCACGACTTTGCCGGGCGTTAGGGGAGTTGTGTCCACATTTAAAGCAATGCATTCTGGGAAAATCAGGATGTCCAGAAAATACTACCAGGGAGGTCTGGTCCTTGAAGAAGATGGGGAAAGGGAGAACAGAAGAAATGAATCCCATACAGGCTAAGTGGCAAGGATTAAAAGAACAACTACTGCAGGATAGCCTCTCAGCTTATCGGATATGGAGCTCTGCTGCTGCTAAAGTGAGTGACTTTGAGGGAGGGGGTGAGGAGATATCTGCTGTCCATTTTGGCTGATGACCAAAGCAAGCTATTTTTAACTTAATTTACTTACAAATACAAACTCAACGGCTATTTTGGCTATTGTTTTTGGCTGAAATCTTTACAGACCATTATAATGTAGCAGAATGCTTGAGAACTATGTGCTTCTGTGAAAAAAGACCTTTATTGCTATAAAACGCAGGGAAACAGCTTTCACCTTCCACCTATTGCCTTTCCATAGAGAACCAATATGCTGAGACTGCAAAATAGGAGAGGGCAATCTGATCATGCCTCTACATCTCCCTTTTCCTCTATCTGTATGTACCTCCCAACATGCTAAAGCTAAAAAAGTTGAACCATAGGATAATTAAGTCAGTACATCTATTTTTTTAATTGAAATGGAAGTGGACAAGTTGAGATCCCAGAGATGCTTACTGCATCTAAAAGCCTTGGCCTCCAAAAGTTGTTACTAAATTGCAATGTTTACAAGGAGGCGATTATTAAATACCCAGTTAAAGAGTAATTTTAAAGGAATATACACTGAAATGAAACCAACATTAGTTTTGTCTTATCTCTACCCACTATTCTTAGAAATGCTGTCCCTACTGTGCATCCTGGGAAAAGTTTTGCTGGTTCTAAAGAAAATATTTTGAAATTAGTAGGGGTGGGCACTGACAGTATAAAGAAAAGGTCTGCTTCAAAACTGAAATACTTCTACAGGTAGTCCTCACTTAACGATAGGGACTGGAAAACTGGTCATCAAATGGGGCGGTCATTTTACAACCATTTTACTGCCATTTTTACGACAGCCGCTAAGCGAATCATGTCATTAAGTAAATCACATAGTCGTTAAGCAAATCCTGCTTCCCCAATGGATGTTTTTTGCTGGAATTTGCTTAACAATGGCATGATTTGCTTAACGACCTTAGCAAAAAAGGTTGCAGATTGTAATCACATGAGCGCAGGGGGGTGGTATGACTGTTTGCAACAGTCATAAGTGTGAGAACAGGTCATAAAGCACTTTTTCCGAGGCCGTCATACCTTCAAGCCATCATTAAGCAAATGGTCATTATACCTGTATTATGTTTATGCATTGAAACTTTATGGATTAATGAAACAGAGTTGCCTCTGCAATTGTCCTACTGTTTAGTTTGTTTGCTTCTGAATCCTAGATCCATGTTCAGAATTTCATACAGTTGTTGCTGAAAGAGGAAGCTGAGGCTATTCTCGCAACAGCCACCAACTGGGAGGAGAGTGAAATTGAAGAGGAAACAGAAACCGGAAGCAGTATAAAATCTAAGATACGGCTCCCGGTCCAGGTGAGGAGGGAAGGCCTATTTTTATTTATATAAATTTATGTACAGTGGTGCTTAAAAGTTTGTGAATCTGTTTGAATTTTCAATATTTTTGCATAAATATGACCTAAAATGTGATGTGTTCTCCACCCAAGTCCTAAAACTAAGTAAAGAGAAGCCAATTAAACAAATGAGTAAAAAAAATATTATACCGTATTTTTCCGACTATAAGACGATACTTTTTTCTAAAATCCTTACCCTAAAAACTGAAGGGTGTCTTATTCAAGGAAGTCAGCCGAGAATTGCGCTTTCTAAAATCCTTACCCTAAAAACTGAAGGGTGTCTTATTCAAGGAAGTCAGCCGAGAATTGCGCTGTTGCAAAACTGCCCATACTTTGTTTCTGCAGAGAAGCTTCCTCCTATTGTTAGCCTCCAA